AGAGCATCGAAAAATAACGCAAAGCTAGTAACTCCACTCTTTTCCGCCCTGCCATTACTTTTTTCTCCTGACTCACGTCTTCGCTGCTTCCTTATTTATGTCGTGCTCTCGGTTACGGGTCGTGTTCTCATCGCCTAACATAAAAGAGTTTCCTCAGGACGACCTCCTGCACAAGTTTCGCTTTCTGTGGTCTGAAGCTGTATATCGTAGATGGTGGGTCATTGGACACCTTACTCACATTCTCTCCCCCCAAAGTCCTTGGGCTTCTATGCGAATTTGTATGGGCTGTCACTGTGAATGAAGCTGATTCCACTTATAGAGCTTGGTCCTTTTACGTGCGTGTTTTGTTCATTCGTCGCGACCCCTAACGAAATTAACAACACCCTGAGTCAATAAGGCACACATATGGTCCGGCTTTCTGGGGGGGGGGAGGGTTACGAAGATAGCCTGTTTGACCTCGCAGTTGTGTGCCTGAAAGTGCAGTTGAGGCTTGAATGGCCATTATCGGCTACCGTAACCGGGCCTCAGGAACCTGTAATTGTGTATGAGCAGGTCCAGTCAATCACAACGCTCAGGTCGAAAGTTTTAAAAGAAAACGCAGCCACCTGTATCCCGTCCTCTATAAATAAACCAACTCGGTGAACGCCAATCGCGTGTGACATTACAGGAAGTGCCTACCCTGCTCTTCGCCACGCCCTACCCTGTTATCTCCTCTTGGCGTGTTTTCTTCTTACCAAAAGTGAGCAACAACTGTCCCACCCCCACTCCCCGCGTATATCTTTTCCCCCTCCCTGTTTAACTCTGCCTAAGGGCAGTCTTTTTGGTGCTTTCTGAAACAACTGGCGTTCCCCCTTGGACCAACCGTTTTGTTGGTACATTCACACTTCCCCAATCACAAAGAATGCCCTGCAAAAGGAACTGCCAGTGTATACTGCAGCCGGTGCTTTCGGAACACCTAACTTAAATCGTGTGCCTGACCTGAAGCCGTAGCATACCTGTAGCCGTACCATACCCAAGCCTCTGGTCACAGTTCCTACGCGACACAGCCCCGGCCCTACTGATGCTAACTCTGGAGGAGGAAGCAATTAATTTCACCAGATCGGGTATCTCCCACAGAGTGCCTCATATTCGTTGACGACATGCTGTCTAGGCATTTGAACTGTCTCTTGAAGAGAGACCCTTGGAAAGGCGTCA